TTTTTTGCATAGGGCAATTTGTTCCGGACCCCGCGCATCAATTCCGTTTTTCCGAAAAGCGCGGGAGCGGCCCATTTTCGCGTTTGACGTGAATTCAACGGGATTTTTTGGAACTTAACGGGATTCAACGGGAGTTTAATTCCCCCGTTCTCCGTTAAAAAGACACACAGGTCTTCGACATGTCCTCTGCAACAACGAGGATCAGGTCGTTACTGCTATGAAGATCGATCTTCGTAAAAAAACGGTTGGCTGCCAAATGGTTAAACAACTCATCTGTGCGAGGCATGGGGTAACTGTTTTTAACCGTATAACGGTTAAGGTCGTGGTAGTCAATGTAGAGGCAAGGAGCTCATCCGCTTTGCGAGCAAAGAGGACGAGTGCTTCCCAAGTGGAGTACTGGGTTTAATGAAACCCAATCGAAGGCGCTCCTCAAGCTGACGCTTGAGTTCCGTCGCCACTGGAATCGAGAGTCGGTAGGGTGCCTGATGGTGGACACAATAGTCTGACACGAACTGGATAGAATGCTCAACACCGCGCATTGGAAGGATCCTGCTGTATAAGAAATACAGGGGAAAGACGTCGTGGTACTTTCGAATCATGTCACGAACGGTGAGTTATAAGTTGGTCGCGAACCACGCGAGTTCCTCAGCGTCTGCGTCATCATTGCTAGTGGATGGAGGGGGAACCTGGGATGTCGAAGGGGTATCCGCAAGGTGAGGGGTGGGTATAGAGATGAGAGCCGCAAAAATGGAGGAAGGGTTGGGAGGATCGGGCTCCAAGGAGATGAACTCACCGTCTGTGGAGAGGGGATCGTACTGAAGAAAATCCATGACGTTCACCGAGTAGAGGATGACGTCCTCCTAACGTAGGAAGTGAGCGAAATGGCGAGGGGAGGTGAAGGCAATGTCCGGGTGGGACCCGGATGGATGAGGGTCCTGGGGAAGTAGGTTAGGAGGGGTGTTGCTCGTGATGCCAATGAATGAGACTCGATAGATCTGACCACACTTCGTTTTGAGAATGAGTGTCTCGGTCGCCTATTCGGCCTCTGTGCCACAGAACTTGCGAGATCAAGGAGTGTCAAGGATAAAGTCGTACCCAGTCTCCAACACGTCGAAGTATGTGGAGAAATGGTAGCGCCGAGGCGCCTGGGTACTATCCGATGGCCGGAAAGTGAGGGAAAAGTAAAGGTCGAGACCGTCTGATCGAAAAAGCGCTGCATCTTGTTATCTCCAAGGGTAATGGTGATAGGAGAGAGGACCCGGAGGTAGCTAGACGAGCTTCCTCAACCACTCGAGGGTGAATGAAATCCCCCTGCGAGTCAGAGTCTCGTAAAGCGTGGTACACCGTCATAGATGTCCCGAGATGAATAAGAATAATGGAGAGGGTGCGATCAGGGTCAGAGAGAAGGGTGAGAAGACAATGCAAGACATTTACGTGTCTCCTGAGTCTCTCTTGATGAGCCTGAAGAATGCTTAAATCCAAGAGAGATGACAAAATCGCGAATCACTAGTTGAGCGCTACAAGGAGTTGTACGGATGGTGCGACGCATCGGAAGTTTCGGAGGGGAAGAACTATATGCGGCAGTCTGTTATGGGGCAAACGGTACCTCGATAAACGGTACCTCGACAAACGGTGGGACAGAAGAAACTACATCTGTCATGTCATGAGGATCTTCTTGTGTGGTAGCCAAAGGGGTAAACCGCAACTCCATGGGCGGGAAGCCGACTACGAGTGAGGCCTCAGTGCCACAGTGCACCGTGACCAGCTGGGATTGGCCAGGTGGGGCCGAGGGGGCACTAAGATCAGCGTTGTCGGAGCGAATACCCTTACAAGGGTATCCGCCGTGTTTTTTGCAAACGACAGAAAACAAGTTTGGTTTAAAATTTAAGTATACCGCGCGAGACGCGACTGTGTATGTGGTTTACGGTGGTTGGATGCTTGACTAGAGTAGGGCGTGTGTGGGCACGCAGACTTGAGGCGCACGTGATCTCTTTTGTTGTTGATGATTGAAGGGTCGGCGCAGTTGTCGACCAATTTTTTTTTGTTTCTAATTAAACTAAGATTAGAAAGGTTTTACTTTTCATTGGTGCGTTTGCCTGTGACTTGTGCCTACGTATGGAGGACGACATCGACGACAATGTGGTTTGAAACGCTTTAGTAGATTCGTGCGTCTCGCAGTAACCGCTCATATAGGAGTCCGTCAATAATAAGTCTAGCCTTGGGCCTAACATTATTGGTTACAGCGTCGGACTCTCATTAAAGAGATTAAGGGATCGTGATCGAGCGACGACGACGTAAGGATATCAGATTAGCGCGGAGGAACTAAGGGGTTGAGGGCCCGACGAGGCTATCCCCCTTGGTTTTGCCGTCGATGGAGTCGGGGCAGTATTAACAGATCCTTTTCCTCGACCGTCGTTCTCTGACAATTAAAAGATTGTAAATATTTCTATTATTTATTGTTGTATCATTATTATTTTGCTCCGGCGTTCCTTGACTCAGACGCGATGTTGGATTTGGAGGCCGTCGCGGATGTCGAGAACCTTGAGCATGCGCCTCCTTTGTCCAACCTACGGGTTTTCGAGCGTTCGAGAATGCTGGCGAAAATGCTCGACCTTGCCCGTCATGAAAACTTGGACTGGGGAGGTCAACGTGCATAGTGAGACTAAGCATTGTGTCTAAGCAGAATGACTTAGTCTGTCTGTTTCTTTTGGAGTTTCTAACTGAAGTTGGGCCAAGGGATCCAACTTCATGCTTTGAGTGATTTGGGATAGGCTGAAGATTGTTTCTAAGCAAAATGATTCAGCTTTTTGTTTTATTTCTGAGGGAGGATTTTTTCTCTAAGGCTAAGCATTGTTTCTAAGCAAAATGGTTTGACATGAAACCACACACATAAGTATAAACAGAGTATAACAGAAAATACTTAATTTATATATGAACTGACAGTTAAACATTGTTTCTAAGCAGAATGGTCCAACGCTAAGCCATATCACTAAGAAGAGAAGGGAAACTACAAAGTATAATTGGAAGTAATTTGGGCAAGTTTAACATTGTTTCTAAGTCGAATGGCCCAGTCCCCTGCCCATATTTTCATTTCTTTCTTAAAACAAAGTCAGAAAATATTAAATCTTTGATATTAAACAGTTCAAGGTGACTAAACATTGTTTCTAAGCAGAATGCTCTAGTCATATGCCCAAAGAAGATAAAACTAGTTGTGCGACATTGTTTCTAAGGTATGCTAGATATTGTTTCTAAACAAAATGGTCTTGCACCATGTCATATGTAAGTTGGGTATGAGGGATAAATCATTTGAGGGTTTCATGAAGTAATCTATGAGGATTTGACTTGGGGGCTCATGGGAGTACTTACCAATGTGGTTTGACCTTGCATGTAGCTACTGTGTATCTTTTGAACGGAGAACGGGCGAAATTCAACGGCCGTTCATCCGTTTAACGGGCCCAGGACCCCCGTTAAATCCCGTTTAACGCAAAAACGGGGGCTTTGCGTTGAATTCCGAAAAACGAAATTCTCGCTTTGGGCCTCGGACACGTGTGCCTACGTGCCCGAACACTCAAACCTGAAAAATAAAATAAAAAATTCACCCCCCTTTGACACCCCCCCCCCAACACCCCTAAAGGACCGAAAAACCCCTATCTGACCCAGAACACACCACCCG